ACATCGGGTGGTACAATGAATATCTCGTCATTCTTATTCCATAGAAGACCCAGTACTTGAGCAGAATCTTCACCACAAGGAGGTCCTATCTGCCTCTTCTTCTCACTACAGTTGAAGCCGTGCCGATCACAGACACGAAGAAGACACCTGACAGCCAAATTAAGGAGCTTTTCAGAATCTGCTCCTACGACTAAATCGTCCATATAGAAGCAGAAACACACTGGAACATTGCCGTTCTTTATCAGATGCGGATAGAGACCCAAAAAGTCACTGCGAGCCTCATCACAAAGTCGTTGCATAGCATCCAACAAACAACCAGGCGAATGTGGTGCACCCATGGGTGGAGAACGAAGCCGATAGAGATTTCCACGAAATGGGATGCAGAACGTATACGATGCACTGTCCGAATGTAAAAGCATATAAAATGCCATAGAGATATCCAACGTTGCAGCACATTGAAACATTCTAAAGCCACTGAGCGCTGTCAATGTACTTCGCAACACACGATCATCAACTGCCTTATGACCCAATCCCGATCCTATGAGCCCAGCAAAAGCCCGACCATCAAGAACGGGTCTTACTGGCGTGGTCCGGAAATTGGAATACACTGCAAAGTGTCGTAGAAGAGCTTTACAACGATGGTAATGCTCAGTAGGAACCACTTCAACGATACCATGCTGCAAATACTTATCAAAAACTGCAGCATAAGAATCCAGATGTCCTGACTCACGTAAACGGTCACAGAACTTACGATCGGCATCAAGAGCCTTTTTAATAGCGTTTAAATCAGGGATCACTGGGCGCTTACTACTGAGCCACGGTATATCATAAGTAAAACGATCAACTACTGTTGTACGACCTTCTAAATCAATATGGTTATCTTTGACAAGTCCTACATAACGAGTCTTATTGCAACCCTCGACATCCTCATCAACAATATCAAATGAGGAAACTTCAGGCTCAGTATCCGAGGCCAGAAGAGTGGGTCCACAGAATTCTTCGAACCTTGAGGAAGCCTCACTAGACAGTATCATATGCAACTCGGATTGAGGCTCCTCAGGCTCGCACAACATCATGAAATTCAGACCCATTTCCTCTGTATCCCCGAATTGAGACTCCGAAGCCGGGTGCAAATAAGAAACGCTGTTAGCAATTATAGTGGCATCAGCAGCAGCATGAGTCTGAA